CTAAAAACTCCCTCACAGGCAGTGCCGTGTGAGCTGGTGCATTGTCGTGATGCAAGAGCCATGAATTGTTGGTGAAAAGTTCAGGTCGTCTAACTTTTTCACACAGCCTTTTCAGCACTTCTAAACAGTAAACTTGGTTAACTGTTTGTCCAGTTGGTACAAATTCAAAATGAATAATCCCTCTGATATCAAAACTGGTTAGCAATATTGTTAAACAAATTTGCAAACTTAATTGTCTGACCTTGTGTGTATATGTGTGTGTATACTCTTGCTTTCAAGACTCTGCCTTTGTTTTTGGATTTTGACAGTTAATTATGATGTGTCTAGGTGTGCATCTCTTTGAATTTATCCTAGCTTGAAATCATTAAGAATCTTGGATGAGTAGATTCATGTTTTTCATCAATTTATTAAAACATAGGATTAAAATTAGTTGACTACTGATTACGCAATCATTTCTAAGATATGACACCTAAATCACCAGTACCAAATTAAAAATATAAATTAAACTTTATCCAAGTTTACAATGTATGCTTTAAAGGACACTACTTAAACGAAAACATAATCCACAGAATAGGCGAAAATATTTACAAGTCAAATATCTGATGAGTCTAGTATCCAAAATGTATTAAAAAAATACAACTCTTCCTACTCAATAATAAAAATGCTAATCTATTTGTTTTTAAAGTGTGAAGGACTTGAATCAGCATTCCTGCAAAGAAGGTATCCAAATGGCCAATAAACATGAGAAGAGGTTCAACATCATTAGTCACTAGGGAAATGCAAATCAAAACCACAGTGAGAAACCACTTCACACACTAGGATGACTATAGTAAAAAATAGACAATAACAAATATTAGCAAGGATATTGAGAAAGTTGAATATTCATACATTGCTGGTGTGAAGGTAAAATAGTGGAGGCTCTTTGAAAAATAGTTTGTCAGTTCCTCAAAACAAATATATAAACATATGTCCTAGCAAGTTTAATTCTAGATGTGTGTGCGTGTGTGTGTGTAAGAGAATTAAAAACATATGTTCACAGAGAAACTTGTCCAGGAATGTTCACAGCAGCATTATTCATGATAGCCAATAAGTAGAAACTACCTAAATAGCCACCAATTGATAAATACACAAAATGTGGCATATCCATGCGATGGTATATTACCCAGTCATAAAAAGAAATGAAGTGCTGATACATTCTATAATATGAATGGACCTCGAAACCATTATACTAAGTGAAAGAAGCCAGACACAAAATGCCATATAGTGTATAATCCCACTTATATGAAAAGTCCAGAATAGGCAAACTTTTAGAGGTAGAAAGTAGATGAGTGGTCCCCAGGGGCTGGGGAGTGATTGCTTAATGGGTATGGTATTTCTTTGTGGAGTGATGAAATCTCATGAAATTATACAGTGTTGATGGTCGCCCAAATTTGTTAATATAAAAACTATTGGGTGTATACTTTAAAGGAGGAATTTTAAGTCATGTGAATTTGCGTGAAAAAAAAAGTATACAAAGAAATGTGTACTTGCTATGCCTCATGTGAGTACTGCAAAATCTTACAAATTCAAAATTTTTATGATACATAGCTCTCATGTGAAAAAATTTTAGCATATTCAAACTGCATCATTTGATAATATGGTAATTATTATAGAATAACAAACACTACAGGCAACTTTAATTATATAACTTTTAGAAATAACTATTCTTGCATACTTAGGCAGTTACAGAACCAGATTTGGATAAATCTAACTATATGGAAACAACTTTAATCCATTGTCATGGAGGGAAAGGGGCCTTAGGAGACTAGGATAACTGGGGGACATTAGCCTTTTGAACAAGATTGATAAAATTTAAACAAATGCTAATTACTTTCTTAAAATTACTGAAAATCTATTTATTAATACCTGGATTATTTGATGAACCCACAATTTTCAGCGAATCTTGGGTCAAGCGAAAACCTCTTGGTAATCGAATCAAATATCCAGCTAGCAAAGATAAAAAGAAAAGAAATGAGCAACAATCTGCTTCCTGAGCAAATTCAAGATGTTCAATAGTACATAATGGTACCACAGAATCTTGATCTTGGTTTAAGGGGGGAGCCATAAGCCCATCTCCCGCGGCAGCTGGCATCCCTGTTTTAACTCTACTCCCCTTGTGCACGCCAATGAAATTAATCTAGCCAGTGCTTCTGCGATTACATCTTGCCTCCGGGTTTTTTTTGCATCCACTTAGAATACTGTCTTCATTTGTAAAAGTCGAAACGCGCCCCCTTTCAGGACCCAGAGCCCAAGTCCCTCCTCCTTCAAACCCTCCGCTTGTCCTTCTCATTTCTTGCTTCTAGAACACTGGGCCGTCGGAAAGTCATGACGCCTTTTGCAACGAGAACCAGAGGAAAAAGGCGTCATGACTTCTCCGACAGCCCGACGCCTCGTCAGCACCTCGGGTGACCCAGTTCCTTATGTGCACGTGTCGTTCTCCTTGGTGGATGACAAGCGCCGCTGCTGGTGGGATCAGGGTTTATATCAGCGCGTCGGGGGTCGGTGCCGAGCACTGCATCTTGCACACGGTGAACAGTAACCGAGCGCCGATACCACACATCCGACAGCGAACGAGCACGGGATGCGCATCCTGGTGTGCGCAGAGCCAGGGGGAGGAGTGCCCCAAAAAGCAATACGGCGTGCACCCCAATTACCTCTAACAGGGGCTACAGCGCAGCAAGCACTCAACGCCAGGAGGCCTGGGTGTAAATCCCAGCGGCCGCTGTGTGGGGTCAGGAAAGTCACCCGAGACCCCAGGCTTTCGGCTTGGTCACCTGCTCAACGGGCCCGTCCCGGCGGACGGGGCGGGCCGCGCTCATCCTGCGCCTCAGACCCCGCGGGTCTGGCCTCGTCCCCGGATCCGAGGGCAGCACGCACATCGCATCGCCCGTTTCGTGCGAGGCCCGGGCCGGGCGCGTCCTTCCCCGCAGCGGCCCCCCGCGGGCAGCGCCCCCGTCCCGCCTCCCCGCCCCGGCCGCAGCCGCGGTCCCGGGGCGCGGCTTCCCGGCTCCCCTGCTCGGACCATGTCCGGCACCTCGCTCGGGGCTCGCTAGTACACGGTTCTCGAAGACGCTTTATTATTATTTCTTAAAGCCTAATATCTAAACACAGACACGCCGCCGCCACCACCTCTAATCAAACGGTCACAACTCCGTTCGTCCCTCGCCCGCGCTTGTCCGTCCGCGTCTCACACGCCCCGTGGGAACAGGGCGGAGACGGGCAGGGAGCCATGGCGGCCGCGCCNCTCAAGAGTTTGAGCTCTGAGCAACAGCGGTTCGAGTCCAGCCCGAGCTGAGCAGCCGTAGCAGGAAAAAAAAAATTAAAAAAAAAAAAAAAAGTATCAAGATAATTCTATACGTGTACTTTACCTATCTGTAAAGACACCTGAAAGGAACCAAGATAAATTTGTTTAAAGGAATAGTATATTATTCACAATGATGTAACACAATGTATGGAATTAAAAAATTATGTGATTAAAAAGTCAACAAATATGTACTTTGATTTTAATTATTAATCGTTTTCCCACTTTGCTTTAAAATGTAAAGAATCCTCATCATTAAGCAAGCAAAAATCATATTCTTTAGGAGGTACAAAAGGAACACAATGGAGACTCAACTGTTTTGAATTTACTCAAAAATAAGCTTTTAGAAAAGATTCCAACAACTCCTCAGTAACTGGATCCCAACTCTTCACTGCTTCACCATATAAAGATGTTTGTGATCTAGTAAAATAAAAATTGTTTTGAGGATCAAAATTCTTCTTAACGTTAAGGAGGTAATCTGTATCACTTCACCATACAGCATGAAGTTTACTGAATGCAGCTTTTAGACAGATATCCTTCCTTAGGTTAAGATTAAGTCCCTCTATACTTAGTCATTTGTTTTTATCAAAAATTGCTGCTGAATTTTAACATATGTTTTTTTCTACATTAATCGAGGTGATCACTTGTTTTTTTCTTCTTGCATATTGTAATGGAATGTTTGCTATTACTAGGTTGCTTTTCTGAAAATCCTAATTGATCACTCTCTTTAACACCGTGGGATTCAATTTGCAACTCCTTTTCCTAGGATACTAGCACCTATATTACATGCATAACATATGGTGTATAATTGCCTTCTACTATCCTTTGTCCTTTTCCAGTGTCAGTATCCAAGTTATTCTTTAGCATTTAGTGTTATTAAGTTAGGCATCTAAAGCTATAATAACCACATAATATGAATTGTGCAGATTGCTTTTATAAATTTTCTCTGACAGAATATGTAAAGTGTTCTTGTCCTAGAAAAGTGAAAATGATGTCTCTCCAAGTACAGACTATCAATAAGAAGATAGAAATTATAAAATATAACCCCCACCAAAATTCTGGATTTAAAACTACAACTGGATTGGAAAATTCACTATAAAGAAGCAACACCAGATAAGAGCAGGCAGGAGAAAGAATCAGCTAACTTGAAGACAGAACAATTTGGCAATATGCAATCTAACAAACAGAAAAAAAAAAGAATAAAGATAAACGAACAGTACTCACAGACTTGTGGGAAACCACCAAGTATGCTAGTATACAACATCAGACAATTAAGTTCGCGAACTCATCCTAGAAAAAGTGCTACATGCCTCATTGCTGAATATTGCTACAGTCACCTTTGAAGTACTCCCCTTGGGAAGCTATGCACTGACACCAGCACCTAGTCCACCCATCAAAGCAATTTTGGAACTCTTTATCTGGAATGGCCATCAGAGCTGTTGTCACATTACCCGTGATGTCCTGAATGTCATCAAAATGTCTTCCTTTCAATATTTCCTTTATCTTCAGGTAAAGAAAGAAGTCATTGGGGGCCAGATCAGGTGAGTAG